CTGCCGCCACCGCCAACGGCAGCAGCCGTCTGCAATGCCGCAGTAGCGGCGCCGTCGCGGATACCAACACGAGCGGCAGCCAGACCTTCCCGTCAGCCCCTTCACGGCCGGCGCCAGAGCTGCCGCTGCCGTACGCCCCATTCCACGGCCCCGCCGTACACCACGCTGTCCTGGATACGACCGACGATGCCGGCAGCAGCTTACTTATTACCACGGCGACGGCCGCTACGGCGACGGCCGCTGGCGACGGTTGCGATGAGGTGTTGGTCGTGCAGCCTAGCGCGCCGTCGGATAGTGTGGCGATGGCGTGGGACCGGCGGAGCTCTCAAGCGGCTCGCCACCTCGCAGATGATCGTGGCGGCGCTGCGGCGGCCTCCTTCACAAACCCATCAATGCTGGAACGGCTACCATCCGGCGGCGGTTTTGCCAACGAACTGTTTGGCGCCCTGCATGAGGTCGCGTGAGTTAGTTATGCACGTGGCATTGGTTGGTTGGTTGCGTGATTGTTGGGTAACACTGCTGTGTTATTATTTAGAGAAGCGAGATCGGATTGGAAGCGTCTTCTACTTCAAAGGCAAGCCAAGATCTTGTTGTTGTTGTTGTTGTTGTTGTTGTGTTTGTTTGTTTGTTTGTTTTTGAGAGCGCGGCGTTCCGTGCGCCATGCTGCTGCCTCCAGCACGTTTGCGTCCCTACTGCCCCTTCGCCTTCCGCTTCCTCCTTTCCCTTCGCTACGCTGACGCCAATATCTCCTTGTCCTTGTTTTTCCATTATTCAACTTGATATTCAGTTTCACTTCTTTTTGTAATTCTCGTTGTTGATTTTGTTCTTCCCCACCAGCACTGAGCGGCGGCTGCGCGCCCGGCGGGCTCCCCTGGGGGGCGACGAGTCCCTCGACACCATGATGGAAGACGCGGAGCTGGGCTCCGTCGCCAGCATTCCATCCTTCATGTTGCCGCGAGCTCAGCTCCCGGGTGGGGAGCTAAGCGGCTCTATGGGTAGAGTGCAGCCACTGCCCATGGACGCCGCCACCGCCGCCAACGGGCCGCCGTCTGAGCCTAGCGCTGGCGGAGGCGGCAGTAGCAGTATCAGCATCCCTATCCGCGGTTCTCGCGGCCGTGGAGTCTCCATAACTTCGGCTGCTGCCTCCATAACCGCGGCGGCGCAGGCGCAGCAACGGACGTCGGCGCTTCTAGGGCTCGTCACTCCAGGGGAGCCGATGCGGGGCGGAGAACAGGTTTCCAGCGTGTCCCAGCGCAAGCACACCAGCCGCCTGTTTCTCACCTCGGTGGCGAGCGCTTTCAGCGGCGAACAGACGTCGGCGGGGCAGATGGGCGAGCTGGGGGACGTGGCAGATGGCAGCGGCGGCGGCGCCGCCGCCGCCGCCGCCGCTACCTCAGATGAGGCAGATTGTTTGAGGGAGGCAGAAGCGTCGCATGACGGAGATGAAGTAGACGATGAAGTATCGTTGTCGTTTGGTGATGCCCGCCGTCGTGCATTGATGGAGGTGGACCAGGGCCGACGACAGGAGCAGTACGGCAAGCTGGCGGCGGCGGGAGCGCCATCCGCTGTCGCCAAGGGCACGCAGGACATGCGCACGAGTATTCTCGGCACCCAAGAAAGTTCGGGGCTCCCGGTGGCAGCTGCGCCGCCGGCGGCGCCGACGTCTATGGAATGGCCACAGCCCGTGGACTCGTTACCGCCGTCACAGGCTATGCCCTGGCTGCCCTCTGGACATGGACTGCGACGCTACCACCTCGTATCTGGAGCTGGCGGCGGCAGCGGCGCCGGTGGGCTTAATTCCGGGTGCGGCAACATCCCCTCTAGCAGCGGTGCGCGGGGCCTGATCAGGCAATATGTCTCGATTGCAGATTCCATGGATCTAGATTCGGCTTCGCTCTGCGTGCCATGGCAGCGGCGCCCTGGTCGGTTTGAGATGGCGGGTTCGGAATCTTCTTCGTTTGTTTTCGGTGACGACCAAGAACGGTTTGACATGTTGCGATTGCTTCGTGAGCAGGAGCAGCAGCCTGGGCAGCAGCCAGTCCGGCACGCGCAGCAGCAGGCAGGTGCAGCATTTCAACGGACTGGGCAAAGCGCCCTCGCCACGGCCACGACTGCTGCTGCTGCTGCTGCTGCCCTTGAGGCTGCGGTCGAAGGGGGGTCTTCCTCTGCCGTGTCTGATGATGTTTCAAGTGCTAGGAGGGAAGATGAGGTAGAGGTAGACGGTAGGGAAATGCAGGGGTTTCAGCTTGCCGACGTGCTGGTTAGTATGGAATGCGCGGTTGTGTCGACGGGCGGCCCCCACTGGCAGTAGTGGGCGGCGGCCTAGGCCTACCGCGGACGATAGTCGATGATGTTGCACACGCCGCCGCACATGCCGCCATGCTGCAAACCGAACGATGATCGGTCGGTCGTAGCCGATGGATTTTGCGGCATTACGGTTGAAGGAGGATAGGATATCACGGCAGCGGCTTTGCGGCATTGCAGCTCAGAGGCAGCACAATGGGAGGCAGCGGCACAACTGGAGCATGGGCTGAATGGAAGGGGGGAGGAATTGAGCGCCGTGATGGTGTTGATGGGGGTGCGTGAGGTGGAGACATGGTGGATGCGAATGCTAGACGGCGTAAGGCAGCGGTAAGCCAGCGCCTGTGTTAAATACGGGAATCTTTATTGAGCGCAGGAGTCAGCAGCGGCAGCGGAGCGGCAGCATTAACAATAGCAATGCAGGGCTTGCACGTCAAGGTGCCTTGTCCTGGGCCTTGTCCTGGGATTTACCTGATTTCGTTTCCAAATATGGCGGAGAATAGTCGGGTTGCGTTATTGATAAGTCTATGGCGTTGCTTGGGGGTTCGGAGGGTTAAGGTGTTTTTCTGCCGTGAAGGCTTGTGAGCGGCTTGCCCCAAAATCTGCATAGCAGTAGCGGCAGCCGGAGAGGCAGTAGCTGCGGCAGCACTAATGGCAGTCGGAGCGGCAGTTGCAGTCACAATCGCTGCGGCAGTAGCTGCGGCAGCAGTAACGGCAGTAGCAGTCTACTGTTTTTCTTAAAAGGCTAGTCTATTGCAGTCGGCGTTTGGAGCGGAATTGAGGGCAGTGGGGGGCAGGCGCTGGGAAGCGCGCTGTGGTGGCTCTAATCTTGAAGCCTCGGAGTGTGGGAGAGGAGGCTGGGAAGAGGAGGAGGGGGCGGGGCATGGGAGGCGTGCGGCTAAGCTGTTGCGTACGGGTTTTGGACCGCATCGAGCGCACAAGCGGTACGTCGTGATGAGCAGGAAGGTGTGTGTGTGCGCGCAAGTAGGGGATGTGTGCAGTCAGCTCGTAGACAAGTAGACAACTAGACTGCTGGGGGAAGGGACGGCAAGGGACGTGATGAAACGAATCGGTATGTAGTGCTTTGATGCAGGTGGAGCAAGACTCAATATACATTACTACTTCTCAAAATAGTGTGTCTGTGATTAACTTCAGTACCCACTAAGGCCTCAGTGCATTATGTGCCTTGGATTATGGGAACGGTTAATTTGCAGGACGATAGAGACTTTGGTGCACTTACATCGACGATAGAGACGATAGAGACTTTGGTGCACTTTTTTCTCTTATATATGCAATGCGTATTTTGTGTTGGTCTGTTGGTTTCTCCCTTGCAGTTCTATCATGCCGTAATATAGCGGGCTTCTTGCTTGTACTGTCATGCTCGTCGTCGATCTCGCCGCACCGTACGGTATGGTACCGTACATAATGGAATGGTGCTCTAACCTGCGGTATGGAAAGGTTTTGCGGTATGGAAAGGTTTTGTTAGTTTGCTGTCTCTCAGGTTTACTGTCCACAGGTGACCTATGAATTGTTAGTGCCCGAAAGTCAAAATTTGGCAATTGTCGTGTGTGGTTGTTCGAAACGGCAATGTGTCGATGTTTTCTTGGCGGCTATCAGTGTGCGGCGGCAGGTTATAGGGGCGCCGTTTAGTTGACTTTGGTCTCACATTGGACTTCACATCACTGCTGGGGCCATTCGCACGCAAGTTTTCGCATTTGGCTGTAGCAGAAGTTCAGAGGTTGCGGAAGGCCTAGCTTGAAGCATGTTCAAGCGCGAGTAATCATGATCCTTAATTGGTTGCAGGCAGAAGAGCACCTGCACATGGCGCATTTGGGGGTGGATTGTTCGCCTAGGGGTACGGCGATTGGTTGGTGGTTAGTTACCCGTCAATGTTGATTGTCTCCTCTCCTCTGCAACACTACCACGATGTATAGAGGACTTGCTTAGACCATGTGAAGAGAGCGTGTGGCTCTTGCGCTATTGATAACGTAAATCATAAATCCTTTTCTGTCTGGTTTTTGGTATAGCTGCAATTGTATCGAGGCAATTATGCCACGGAAGACGGGCTACAAGACACGGAGCGCGTCTAGTACATTAATGCTGGGCGATCCGGACTTGGTGCGATTTACCACACTGACTTTTCTCCGTTGTGTGCGCACATTCCTTGTTTCACCGCTTCACCATTGTAAGACTGACTCTGCACAGGGGACACGTGAATGGGATACGGAATATGACGTCGAATTCTGCGACGTTCCCCGCCGACAAGAGCACCACCGCGTGGAAGATGTGAAACAATCGGCCAAGGCATCTTTACGGACGCCGCGCTCCCTGAAGAAAGGTTACGTCTCTGAACATGATTATGAGAAGCTGGTAGGTGCTTAATGATATCATGGCTAACGATTTGCGTCCTTGTAATTCCGGAGGTTATGAGGTCGTTTTGGCAACCTCAAGGTGCAACCTTACAAACTCCCTATTGCTAATCATGCAATGTATAAGGCAACACACCTGTAATTATGCTAACGTTGTTTCTAAGGCCCTCCTTGCCTCAACTTACGAAATAACAGCTCGCGTTCCATCTATTTGGTGCTTAACATCTTCTTTTTCCTGATTCCTTATGATGCACAGGATGAACACTACAACCATGCCGTCATGTCTTATCGCGACCTGCAGCTGCAAGTCGCTGCCCTGGAACAGCGCTTGGCAGCGATGCAGGGCAACGAGCATCTGTTCCTTCAGGCCGTTGAGGAGCAACAGGGCATTATCAACACAC